TGCAAGTGGCAAGATCATGGCTCACTGCAAGCTTGACCTCCCCAGGCTCAGGTGATCCTTCCACCTCAGTCTCCTGAGTAGCTGGGAGTACAGGCATGCACCAGCATGTCTGGCTAATTTTTGTATTTTTGGTAGAGACAGGGTCTCACTATGTTTCCAGTCTGGTCTTGAACTCTTGCGCTCAAGTAATCCTCCTGCCTCGGCTTCCCAAAGTGCTGGGATAACCAGTGTAAGCCACCATGCCTGGCCTTGTATTTTTGGATAGTATTGAGCAAAATTTGCCTCAATAAATACGAATCCTTTCAATATGCTTCAACTTTAAAATCTTCAAAAAGCTGCTTAGTTTCATTATTTTCGTGTGGAAGCAGCATTGTCCCAAAGTTTTATTTTGAAGACTGAATTGTATACGGAGTACTGTCCAACTAGAAGAGAATGAATAATCAGGAAAAGAGAGACTATTGAAAAATGAAACTTAATGGAGAAGTATTGAATTTCAAAGCTGCCAGAGACATTAGCAATTGTTCAGTTTCATCTCCAGATTTCTTAGATGAAGAAGCTGTGGCAAGCCAATTTCACAAACCCGATCTATGATCCTCATGCTCCCCACTCCTCTCACTCCCAGAATTTTGCCTTGATCCAAACTTTACAGAAAAGTACAAAACCACAGGTATGAGTTCACTGAGCTTCCCAGGCAGTCCTGCCATCTATAAACCCATGTCATTCTGTATTTTCCTCTTGTTTCTGAGGGTGATCCTCTCATCTAGTCACACTATGTCCACTTATCTCTGGCACTTATGTCAAAACAACCCCTCTAGGTCCTGCCTTAGCTCTCCTGCATATGCTTTCTCTTTCTTCCTGTCTGTTGCCTCTTTCCCCCAGCTTATAATTCTCCCGCCTTTATTAAAAACATGCACTCACAGACACACACTCACATCTGGATTCCCAGGTACGATAACCTTGTGGATTCATGTTTTCAGATCATTCTTAGTCCATAGAATATAAAATTGATGGAATGATGGCAAACATTTGCAGATGACAATCATTTACAGAAATGGCACTAAAGCCATGAAGCTGAAGCTGCAGTACTTATGGATCTGAGCTAGAAGACAGGGACCATCAAAAATTCAGCTTCAGCTGGAGATGGGCTCTTTGAGTGCACTACATCAGATCCACGAAAGAGGAAGGAAGAGTTACTGCTCATTGCTGCCTGGAGCTGTGACTTCTATGAAATTACTTAACTAGGGGCAAAGGAGGAAGCAGATACTTCCTTGCAACTAGGACTTGAGCTGAGATGATCCCTGAATCATAAATAGTCAACAAGATTTGGATTCAGGACCCAGGGAATCACGGGGTACAACCATAAAACTTCTAAATGTTGGGGAAAGAATAATGAGAAAGAAAAATGAATCTCTGAAAGAAAATGGAACTACTAAACAAAATTCCAAATCACGTTAATATAATTGTTACTAAGAATGACAGCAACAAAATGAATAATCAGGATATGTCATACCTATAAAGTTAAAAATCTAAAATAATTTGAAGAAATACTTAAATATATTTAGAACCCTCAAAGAGATAAATAATATTCATAAAATTAAAATGACAAACTAGGGGTGGGGCGTGGTGGCTCACGCCTGTAATCCCAGCACTGTGGGAGGCCGAGGCGGGTGGATCGCAAGGTCAGGAGATTGAGACAATCCTGGCTAACACGGTGAAACCACGTCTCTACTAAAAATACAAAAACAAAATTAGCCGGGCGTGGTGGCGGGTGCCTGTAGTCCCAGCTATTCGGGAGGCTGAGTTGGGAGAATGGCGTGAACCCAGGAGGTGGAGCTTGCAGTGAGCCAAGATTGCACCACTGCACTCCAGCCTGGGCGACAAAACTAGACTCCGTCTCAAAAAAAAAAAAAGAGAGACAAACTAGGAAGAATATACAGAAATGTAACAGAAAGTAGATAGGAAGAAGAATGAAGTAGAAATACTTGAAATTAGAAATATGTTGATTGAAATTAAAACTGTAACAAAGTAAACTCTAGACTCACAATTGGAGAGTTGGTGATTGGAAAGATGAACCAATTAATTTACCCAAAACACATTAGAGAGAGGTGAAGGGGAAAAAATAGCTAAATATAGAAGCACATTTAAGAGACATGTAAGATGATTAAAAGCCTCCAACATTTTTCAAAAAAGAGAGTAGAGACAATATTATAGGTGGAATAATGAAAATGATAATGGCTGAGAATATTAAAGAATTGAGAAAAAACAGACAAGTGGCCTCAGATTGAAACTGCCATGAAGGTCTCTGTCTCAAATTCTCAACTCTGCTTTTGTAGTATGAAAGCAGCCATAGACAATAAGTAAGTGAATGCACATGGCTGTGTGTCAATACAACTTGATTTACAAAAACAGGCAGGCAGCAGGCTAAATTAGGCTGGGATACCATAGTTTGATAGCTCTTGATGTAAAGAATAACCATTGTTGGTCAGGTGCAGTGACTCATGTCTGTAATCACAACACTTTGGGTGGCCAAGGCGGGCAGATCACTTGAGCCCAGGAGTTCAAAACCAGCCTGGGCAACATAGCAAAACCCCATCTCTACTAAACGTACAAAAATTAGCCGGGCATGGTGGCACGCTCCTGTAGTCCCAGCTACTCAGGAGGCTGAGGAAGGAGAATCGCTTGAACCTAGGAGGCTGAGGTTGCAGTGAGCAGGGATGGTGCCACTGCACTGCAGCCTGGATGACAGGGCCAGACTTGGTCTCGAAAATAAAGAAAGAAAGAATAACCATTGTTTACGTTTTCATGTATATGTCACCAGATGTTCTTCATATATCCATATAAGTATGTATATATGATGTACATAAGTACCTAAGTAAAAATACATAAGTAATTTTAAAAGAGGTTATATCATAGCTGAATCACACATGACTCGGACTACACTTGCTCTTCTGAGTACCTACTTTTGGACAACTCTCAGTGTCCACTAGCATGTCTAAAAAAAAAGTCTACTCCTAAAATGCTAATGCATGATGTAGATTTTAACTACAGCTTTTGAGGCTCAGTGGAGGAGGGTGTACATCACACGACCCAATGCAAAGCTTTTTTTTTTTTTTTTTTTTTTTTTTTGAGACGGAGTCTCGCTCTGCCGCCCAGGCTGGAGTGCAGTGGCCGGATCTCAGCTCACTGCACGCTCCGCCTCCCGGGTTCACGCCATTCTCCTGCCTCAGCCTCCCAGTAGTTGGGACTACAGGCGCCCGCCACCGCGCCCGGCTAGTTTTTTGTATTTTTTAGTAGAGACGGGGTTTCACCGTGTTAGCCAGGATGGTCTCGATCTCCTGACGTCGTGATCCACCCGTCTCGGCCTCCCAAAGTGCTGGGATTACAGGCTTGAGCCACCGCGCCCGGCCAATGCAAAGCTTTTTAACAGCCCCTTTTGCTCATCTTTGTTTTCCCCCACTGTTCCTCACCCTGCAGCAGGCAGCTAACATTCACCTCTCCCTTCCACCCTCCTCTCTCAGCACTGGTCCTTTGCCTCCTCCCTCATCCCAGCTCTACAAATGGCCTCAGCCTGCATACTCCAACCTCCCAGCAAAACAAACATCTAGTAACTACAGGGTCAGCAAGAGAGAATCTGAGGCCCTAGCCATAGACAGATCACCTTATCATTTCTCCAGCACATTCCAGGAAGGATCTCAGTTCGTTCTGTCCCAATATACCTCTACATCCTTTGTTTTAATGATCACATAGAATTTGTTGTATGCATATATCATTATTTATATAACTAAGCCCCCAATTTTGAACAAGAGGCTACATACTGAAAATTTTTTATCTACCAAGTCTTTTTTTTCTTACAAACCCATCCAATACAGTTGCACTGTATCCGCCAATACAGTTGCACTGTATCCGCCAATACAGTTCATGCAACTGTATGGAAATCAAACTCTAGAAGAGTATTTTATAGTTCTATAAGAGTATTAAACTCTTATACTTCTAGAGTGTAAAACCCCAGAAAAGTATTTTGTCAGAAAAAGATTGTGTTTTTGAAATAGTAGGTTTTAAAAGAAAATAAAGAAAGAGGGTTAGAAGTAAGAAAATTCAGGTTTAGTAGGTTTTAAAAGAAAATAAAGAAAGAGGGTTAGAAGTAAGAAAATTCAGGTTATCAGGGGCTTGATATCTTTATTTTGTGACTGTAGGCAGGTTATCCAGGACTTTGTAGATCAATTTCTCAAACAAATAACAGAGATGAAATCAACTGTCATTAGCTACTGTCACAAAAATAATATGATAAACATCTATTCATTTATGGCTGCCGTAACTAATTATCACAAACTTGGTGGCTTAAAATAACAGAAATTTATTTTCTCACAGCTCCGGAGTCTAGAATTCCAAAATGGAAGGGTCAGCAAGGCTGCACGCCCTCCAAACACTCTTGGAGAGAGTCTTTTCTTGCTGCATCCGGCTTCTGATGGCTCTAGGCAATCCCCCACTTGTGACTGCATCACTCCAGTCTCTGCCTCCGTCTTCAATTGGCCTTCCTCTGTGTCCCTGTCTTCTCTTCCGTCTCTTATAAGGACACTTGTCATTGTACAGTATTTAGGGTCCACATAGATAATCCAGGAGGATCTCATTTTAAGATCCTTAACTTCATTACATCTATACAGATCCTTTTTCCAAATTAACGTAATGTTCACAGGTTCTGTGGGTTAGGATGTGGACATATCAATTTGAGGCCCACCATTCAATACACTACAGTTTTCTTTGTAAGTGTTCTGAGAACCCAGGAGAAATAAGTAAATCCTTTGATTCAATCAAAAATGAGCAGAATGTGAATCAACAATACTAGAAGATATCCTTTTTCCTAGGCACTGGCATATATTTCAATAGTATCTCTAATTAATTTACAGATGTATTTACGCTTCTAAGTGTCAGCAATGAAGATTATTATGACAAATTTAAAATTTAGTAATTTGTTTTTAAACTGGTATTTTTGTTTTTTTAAGCGGTCATCTCAGTCCACATTAGAACGATCTGAACAGCAGATCAGGGCTGCTTCTAGTTTGGAGGAACTCCTTCGAATTACTCACTCTGAGGACTGGAAGTTGTGGAGATGCAGGCTGAGGCTCAAAAGTTTTACCAGCATGGACTCTCGCTCAGCATCCCATCGGTCCACTAGGTTTGCGGCAACTTTCTATGACATTGAAACACTAAAAGGTAGGTGTGTGGATGTGGAGACAAGTTCTTTCTCTTTATCAGATAGTGACAAATACACTTACTTTCTCCAAAACTCTGCGTAGGGCAGACACGTGTCAGAGGGAGAATGAAAGTCAGTCTTTGATTTCATAACTTCAGTGTTAGTGCAGAATCTTGATTTTTTAATATTTACTTCACAGAGAAATATATGCAATATGATTTTGAGATAAAAAACACAAAAGAACATTTCAAAATATAAAAACAAATTTAACTCAAGGATGTGGGGGCAAAGAAAACCCAGGAAGACTATTGTTCTCAATAGAAAAAAAAATCATAAGGTTTACATAGAAAATAAAACCTGGGGATTCATCCACAAGGAGTATTCTACTGCCATACATACATAGATAAAAACCAAAAATGGCCAGACATGGTGGCTCATGCCTGTAATCCCAGCACTTTGGGAGGCCAAGGAAAGCAGATTGCTTGAGCCCAGGAGTTCGAGACCAGCCTGGGCAACATGACGAGACCCCATCTCTACAAAAAAAAAAACAGAAAAAAATAGCTGAGCATTGTGGTATGCGCCTATATTCCCAGTTACTTGGGAGGCTGAGGTGGGAGGATCTGCTGAGCCCAGGAGGTCGAGGCTACAGTGAGCCATGATCATGCTACTACACTCCAGCCTGGGCAACAGAGCAAGATCCTGTCTCAAGAAAACCACCACCTCCGAACCAATAGATTAGATATAGCTTTTTGTTTTTTATTTCTGCAAAGTTGTGTGATTTTTTTTTAAAATTTATTATTATTATACTTTAAGTTCTAGGGTACATGTGCATAACGTGCAGGTTTGTTACATATGTATACTTGTGCCATGTTGGTGTGCTGCACCTATCAACTCATCAGCACCCATCAACTCATCATTTACATCAGGTATAACTCCCAATGCAATCCCACCCCCCTCCCCCCTCCCCATGATAGGCCCCGGTGTGTGATGTTCCCCTTCCTGAGTCCAAGTGATCTCATTGTTCAGTTCCCACCTATGAGTGAGAACATGCAGTGTTTGGTTTTCTGTTCTTGTGATAGTTTGCTAAGAATGATGGTTTCCAGCTGCATCCATGTCCCTACAAAGGACACAAACTCATACTTTTTTATGGCTGCATAGTATTCCATGGTGTATATGTGCCACATTTTCTTAATCCAATCTGTCACTGATGGACATTTGGGTTGATTCCAAGTCTTTGCTATTGTGAATAGTGCCGCAATAAACATACGTGTGCATGTGTCTTTATAGCAGCATGATTTATAATCCTTTGGGTATATACCCAGTAATGGGATGGCTGGGTCATATGGTACATCTAGTTCTAGATCCTTGAGGAATCGCCATACTGTTTTCCATAATGGTTGAACTAGTTTACAATCCCACCAACAGTGTAAAAGTGTTCCTATTTCTCCACATCCTCTCCAGCACCTGTTGTTCCTGACTTTTAATGATCGCCATTCTAACTGGTGTGAGATGGTATCTCATTGTGGTTTTGATTTGCATTTCTCTGATGGCCAGTGATGATGAGCATTTTTATGTGTCTGTTGGCTGTATGATGTCTTCTTTGAGAAATGTCTGTTCATATCCTTTGCCCACTTTTGATGGGGTTGTTTGTTTTTTTCTTGTAAATTTGTTTGAGTTCTTTGTAGGGTTCTGGATATTAGCCCTTTGTCAGATGAGTAATTGCAAAAATGTTCTCCCATTCCATAGGTTGCCTGTTCACTCTGATGGTAGTTTTTTTTTGCTGTGCAGAAGCTCTTTAGTTTAATGAGATCCCATTTGTCAATTTTGGCTTTTGCTGCCGTTGCTTTTGGTGTTCTAGACATGAAGTCTTTGCCCATGCCTATGTCCTGAATGGTACTACCTAGGTTTTCCTCTAGGATTTTATGGTATTAGGTCTAACATTTAAGTCTCTAATCCATCTTGAATTAATTTCGTATAAGGAGTAAGGAAAGGATCCAGTTTCAGCTTTCTACTTATGGCTAGCCAATTTTCCCAGCACCATTTATTAAATAGGGAATCCTTTCCCCATTTCTTGTTTCTCTCAGGTTTGTCAAAGATCAGATGGCTGTAGATGTGTGGTATTATTTCTGAGGACTCTGTTCTGTTCCATTGGTCTATATCTCTGTTTTGGTACCAGTACCATGCTGTTTTGGTTACTGTAGCCTTGTAGTATAGTTTGAAGCCAGGTAGCGTGATGCCTCCAGCTTTGTTCTTTTGACTTAGGATTGTCTTGGAGATGCGAGCTCTTTTTTGGTTCCATATGAACTTTAAAGCAGTTTTTTCCAATTCTGTGAAGAAACTCATTGGTAGCTTGATGGGGATGGCATTGAATCTATAAATTACCTTGGGCAGTATGGCCATTTTCACGATATTGATTCTTCCTATCCATGAGCATGGTATGTTCTTCCATTTGTTTGTGTGTTGTGTGATTTTTAATAAAGTGAAAAGTAAAAGTTGGACACTGAGTTGTAATATTGGGTACTGGTATTGCTAGGAGAATAACGAAGGGAGAAAATTCTCAAGACAAAATGATCAAAGCTCCAGACTAGAAAATAACATAATTTGAAATAAGGTTAATGATTGTTCCCTAGTAAGGTATGAAGATTCTTTAAAAGAAAATCAGGCTGGGCGTGGTGGATGACACCTGTAATCCCAGCACTTTGGGAGGTCGAGGTGGGTGGATCACCTGAAGTCAGGAGTTCGAGACCAGGCTGACCAACATGGTGAAAACCTGTCTCTACTAAAAATACAAAATTAGCCAGGCATGGCGGTGCATGCCTGTAATCCCAACTACTTGGGAGGCTGAGGCAGGAGAATTGCTTGAACCCGGGAGGCAGAGGTTGCAGTGAGCTGAGTTTGCGCCATTGCACTCCAGCCTGAGCAACAAGAGTGAAACTCTGTCTCAAATAAAAGGAAGGAAGGAAGGAAGGAAGGAAGGAAGGAAGGAAGGAAGGAAGGAAGGAAGGAAGGAAGGAAGGAAGGAAGGAAGGAAGGAAGGAAACCAGTGTGTGTAGGTACTGTGCCATAATGAATAAAAAATGCTTGTCAAGTAAAGTTCTGTGGTTTCTGATTAGGCATTTAATTTTTTGATGACATGTCAAAACAACAAAAGAAGCTGTTACAGCATTGCTGATCTAGCATTCTAGATTTGATTAACATGATTACCTGGTAACTGATTATATATATAGCATAATTCAAATTAACCACTAGGCCAAAACTATTTTTTTCTTTCTACCTAAAATTGTATTTGTTTTTTCCCATTTGTAAAAAGATGTTGGGGTTGCACAGACCTCTTGTTGGCGGTGGGGAAAGCTGTGCATAGATGGGGAAATATTCTTTGGTAGCACCTTGGGCATAAGTGTGAAAAGGATTCTTTGTGTTCATGTATAAGACTGTGTGTCTAAGTGAGTTGACATGGTGGGAACCATAGCCTTGAGCTCACTTCAGACAGGAATTTGAAGCTCTAGATGTTTCTATGTGGTGAATTAACATAGCCTTCATGAGAACAAAGGGTTGGCACCTCATCTAGAGGTCAAAGGCCTTAACCAGATTACCTGACTGAAGGCCTGAGGTGAGCCTGGAGCTATTTCATGAAGATGAATGTTACCATAAAACCAAGACTAGGTGATCTAAAAAAAAGTCAATGACGGCCGGGCGAGGTGGCTCAAGCCTGTAATCCCAGCACTTTGGGAGGCCGAGACGGGTAGATCACGAGGTCAGGAGATCGAGACCATCCTGGCTAACACGGTGAAACCCCGTCTCTACTAAAAAATACAAAAAACTAGCCCGGCGATGTGGCGGGCGCCTGTAGTCCCAGCTACTCGGGAGGCTGAGACAGGAGAATGGCGTGAACTCGGGAGGCGGAGCTTGCAGTGAGCTGAGATCCGGCCACTGCACTCCAGCCTGGGCGGCAGAGCGAGACTCCGTCTCAAAAAAAAAAAAAAAAAAAAAAAAAAGTCAATGACATTGACATTTTCTAAGGAAAAAACCATTAAAATATCACAGAATTTGCAAACCCTATGAATTTATCTCCTAATTTCATAGGGGATCATCTAAAGTTATTTACTAAGTTAGAAGCAGTGAATAATGAAATCGGCATGTTACACCAATTAGAATTTGTTATCAAGTCTCCCTTGTGGATTTCAAGGTAATTTCCTGAGGCAGAGCAGTCCTGCTGGGAAGTAGTAAAGAATAGTAGAATTATGAAGCCTTTAATCAGTGATGTTGGTCATAATTGCATATGATTTTGATTAAAAGCTTACCACTCCAATTTCAAAACTTAGTTTTATAAAAAGAGAAAAAGCAAATGGAAAGCAACATTTAAGTAGAATTTTAAATTGGGAATATTTTCATAGGTTGGTTTCTTGTTTTTTCAAGGATTCATGATTAATTGTAGTGAATTAAATAATAACCATAATAATACTTAATTGAGTAATTTATCCCTCATGTGCAGCATTCAGGCTTTTTATATAAATATTAATAATCAGAAATTTTTAAAAAGGTTTCTTAGGGGCTGGGCTCACACCTGTAATCCCAGCACTTTGGGCGGCCAAGGTGGGCGGATCACAAGGTTAAGAGATCAAGACCAGCCTGGCCAACATGGTGAAACCCCGTCTCTACTGAAAATACAAAAATTAGCTGGGCATGGTGGTGCATGCCTCTAATCACAGCTACTTGGGAGGCTGAGGCAGGAAAATCGCTTGAACCCAGGAGGTGGAGGTTGCAGTAAGCCGAGATCACACCACTGCACTCCAGCCTGGCGACACAGCAAGACTCTGTCTCAAAAAAAAAAAAAAAAAAAAAAAAAAAAAGAAAAAAGTTTCTTAGGATAGAATGTTTTATTATGAGGAAAAAACCCCAAAGTTTAGGTAAACTGTGTAGTATAATGCAGTGCTCCAGACAACCCATATTATGTTTTCGGTGATTGAAGAAGCAACATAGGAAAAATATTGGTATTAAGGGATGAAAAAGGAGAAAGGATATGGAGAAGATGTTATAAGGGAATAATTTAGGGACTAGGGTCACATCTCAAATGGTAATATTGTATCGGTATACTTCAAGCAGAGGTCTTCTCTATCCCTTCTATTCCCATATATGGGAACTCAGAATAATCTCAGGAGAGTTCTTGAAAATGCAGTAAAAATAAAGGACAGTTTGTCTATTGTTGCTTAACACATTACCACAAAACTTAGCTACTTAAAACAATATTTATCTCAGTTTCTGTGGGCCAGAAATGCTGACATGGCCTAGATCAGTTTCTCTGCTTCAGATGTCTCTGGAGGCTGCAGTCAAGATATTGGCCTGGGCTGCAGGCATCTTAGGGCACTGCTTTCAAGTTCAGTCAGATGTTGTTTGCAGGACTCAATTCCTCACAGGCTGTTGGACTGAGGGTCTTCGTTCCTCGCTGGCTATTGGCCAGAGGCTGCCCCAAGTTCCTTGTCTTTTTTGTTTTTGTTTTTTTTTTTTTTTTGAGACAGAGTCTCGCTCTGTCGCCCGGGCTGGAGTGCAGTGGCCGGATCTCAGCTCACTGCAAGCTCCGCCTCCCGGGTTCACGCCATTCTCCTGCCTCAGCCTCCCGAGTAGCTGGGACTACAGGCGCCGACCACCGCGCCCGGCTAATTTTTTGTATTTTTTAGTAGAGACGGGGTTTCACCGTGTTAACCAGGATGGTCTCGATCTCCTGACCTCGTGATCCGCCCGTCTCGGCCTCCCAAAGTGCTGGGATTACAGGCTTGAGCCACCGCGCCTGGCCCCAAGTTCCTTGTCATGTGGACCTTTCTAACATGGCGGCAAACTAACACAAGAACAGAAAACCAAACACCGCATGTTCTCACTCATAAGTGGGAGTTGAACAATGAGAACAGATGTACACAAGGAGGGGAACATCACAAACGAGGGCTTGTTGGGGGGTGGGGGACAAAGGGAAGGAGAACATTAGGACAAATACCTAATGCACGCGGGGCTTAAAACCTAGATGACAGGTTGATAGGTGCAGCAAACCACCATGGCACACGTACACCTATGTGACAAACCTGCACGTTCTGCACATGTATCCCAGAACTTAAAGTAAAATAAGTTAAAAAAAAAAAAAAAAAAAAAGCCTGCAAGTGGAGAAGGAGAGAAAGAGTATGTGTGTGAGAAAGTGAGACAGAATAAGAAAGAAGAAAACTTGCAATAAGTAGAAACAAGACTGCAATCTTTTTTAACTTCATCATGGAAGTGGTATCCCATCACTTTTGCTGTATTCTCTTCATAAGAAGCAAGTTACTAGGTCCAGCTCACACACAAGGAGAAGAGATTTACACAAGGGCATGACTATCAGGAGGTGGGGACCACTGGGGGTTAGTTTCAAAGCTGCCTACCACAAGAGATTTTCACCAGCACCACACCCTCACATATAATAAATAAACTCTACAGTTCCATGGCAAGCTACAAGGAAGTCTTTGTGTTGTCTTTATCATAAAATTGAATCTTTCCCCCAAAACACCTGTAGAAAGGCTATGCAGTATTAAGTACCAAAGGGTCAAAGTTGAATTTAAAAAATAAAATATGAGAGAAAAGCAGGTACTGTTTTATAAGAAAGTATATAATTTTTTTTATTCCCATAGGCTTGTTTCTTTTTTCTTGTTACTTTCAAATTAACTATGGCCAAAGGATTGCTCATTCCATTAATACGAACAGGCTTATTTCATCATTTATATAAATATCAGTATCGGGCACTTGCAAATGAGAAAACTCTGATTTGAGGAAGGATTAGTTTCACTTCAATTTCCATTTATGCATTTGCCAAGTTTAAATCCTACTGTAGTTACCTAAGCAACCAACAGAAACATATTTTTGATGATGCTAAAACCTACCTACACCTGGCTTTAAGTAGAAGAAATGCTATCCAGCTGTATCTAGTAAATTGCTTGATAAATAATATTTACATGTTATTTCTTTACATGCTTCTATTTACTTCCCTGTTAGCCAGCTTCTCCAGATGTATCCAGTGTAATTATGTACAGGACATGGTGTTATACCTCAAAGGGAAATAAAATACTTATATTCTACAAAGGTATGGTATAAATGGGAAAGAGCACAGAGATTATTGTAACTTCTCTGCAAACAATCTTGGTTAAAGGACTGACAAAAAATATCCATCTAGTAAAAGAAACAAGCAGTAGAAATGTGAAAATGACTATGCTCAGCGTAACCCTGGCACACGTTGGCACATCAGGGCCATTCCATCTGCTAGCCCCAGTGAGCTTTCTCTCTGCAGTTATAGATGAAGAATGGCAAAGAACTCAGTGCAGCCCTAGAGAAACATGCGTGGAGGTGGCCAGTGAGCTGGGGAAGAGTACCAACACATTCTTCAAGCCCCCTTGTGTGAACGTGTTCCGATGTGGTGGCTGTTGCAATGAAGAGAGCCTCATCTGTATGAACACCAGCACCTCGTACATTTCCAAACAGGTATGAGGACATCGGCAAGCCTGCTATCTCTAAAGCCCTGATTATAATAGCGTCGATCGCTACAACAACCTTGTTGCCAAACACTGTACTAAATGCTCTGTGTGCATAATCACATTTAATCTTTGAAACAAGCCAAGAGGGTATTTTGTCCTCCTTTATAGATGAGGAAACTGGGGCTCAGAGAGGTAACTTACTTATCCAAGGTTACATGGCTGATAAATAGCAGAGCTGGGATTCAAACCCAGGTCTGTGGGAGGCCAGAGCCTGAACTATTATCAGTTATTGTCTCTCTGTTGCTATAATGTCAAGACTCAGAAAACCATATGGAAGTTACTAGGATAGGATGTTAAAAGGAATGAAGATAGCTGTGCTGTCTTGTGTATCCATCAGGTTCTGTGTTGCTCAAAAAAAAGTTTAATGAAGGTTGTGGGCAGAATTGGGGAAAGAGGGATGGGACAGTGAAGCACCTGAAGCTAGCAAAAAGGGGGAGACTTCCCCACCCTTAGACTGAGGAGACGAGGGGAGGGAGCAGTTACGGGAACCCAGAGGGAAAGCGGAGAAGAGGGTTGCTGGACTGGCCACTGTCAACTCTTGGCCTGGCAGGGAGTTGGGGCAGGGGCTGGGAGGGGCAAGAGGGTTTATAGATGTAGCCCATGGAGGGCAGCGTCCTGGGGCACAGAGCCTGATGGGGAAGGAAGGAGAGAGGATGGTGTCTCTGGAGGGGCAAAGAGAGAATACCTAGCACAAAAGACATTTGGAAATAATTCTGCAGTCCCCATGAAAGAAATAATTCAGCCCTCTTCATCTTATAAAACTCCCTTTGCTTACGTAAGTTTTCCTTTCTCTGGTTACCATGTTTTTAATAAATGTCGCATATGAGAGCAGTAGTAACACACTTGGGAAAGCAATATTTAAAAACTGTGCATCAAACTACATTCTTTTTGGTATCTGTTGCAAATTCCTTGAATGTTGATATACTTATTTAATTGTCAGTTTGCCTATATGATTTATTCTCCTTTTAATTGCAAAAAGAGGTAGTACAAGAAAATTACATGCACTGAACATAACCATGTTAGGTAATTTTCTTAATGCTGATTTGTTTTGTTAATAGATTTACTTATCCTTAATTTTGTTCCTCCACCCTCTAAAATATCCTTTAAACTGGAGAGTTTCTTTTTCTAAATTCTTTTAGAGAATCTTGGAGCTTGTGCAAATTTTAACCTCTACTATTTGACAATTAGAAAAAAAAATGACCCAAGTAGGGCTAAGCATCAATTCTTAGTAGAAACAAAGCTTGCATAACGTAAGAGGGTTTAGTTCATGATCATGTGATTCCCTAGAGCACAGCCAAAAAATTGTGCAAGAAGATGAAGTTTATGCAAAGTAAACACTACAAAAACACTCTCACTTAGACTCATGGAAGTTCCATTACATATTGAGAGGTCAGAATAAACACAGCCTTAATGGATTGCTTCCACTTAATAGATAGTTGAGTACTTCATTTTGACTGCTGTACTCAACAAATGATTAATTTCATAGAATGCACTTAAGTGTAAGTGTACAGCAGGTTTTCTTCCAAATATGAATTTTTGAACATGTTAATAGTAGTTTTTAAAAAACTATCTCTCGGCCGGGCGCGGTGGCTCACGCCTGTAATCCCAGCACTTTGGGAGGCTGAGGCGGGCGGATCACAGGGTCAGGAGATCAAGACCATCCTGGCTAACACGGTGAAACCCCGTCTCTACTAAAAAATAAAAATAAAAAAAATTAGCCAGGCGTGGTGGCGGGCGCCTGTAGTCCCAGCTACTTGGAAGGCTGAGGCAGGAGAATGGCATGAACCCAGCAGGCAGAGCTTGCAGTGAGCTGAGATCATGCCATTGCACTCCAGCCTGTGCAACAGAGCGGGACTCCGTCTCAAAACAAAACAAAACAAAACAAAACAAAAACTATCTCTCACCCCAAAGTTATGGATTATTTGGCAAACCACCTCTTAGAAACAAAGTGAACAAATGAATATTCTATGTAGTAAGGACTACATGGAATGATGATTGAATGGACAATACATTAAAATCAACTTCAAACTCATCCACACATCATAGAACCACTCAAGAAAGTTGTATCACCTCTCTGTACGTCTGTTTCTTCACCTGTAAGATGGGAATAATAAAAACCCACCCTATAATGCTGTTATAAGGGGTAAATGAGGTAACATGAAAGCACTTACAACAGGGCCTGGCCTACAGAAAGCGTAGAAAGAATGATATACATGTTAGCTATAATTATTTGTTTGGGCATGATGATCTTGTATCAGCTATTAATACACAATGCTGCATAACAAACACACTAAAACTCAGTGGTTCCAAACAACAATGATTTATTCTCACTTACATATCTGAGGTTCAGTTAGTTTAGGGTGGGTTCAGCAGGGCTTGACTCTAAGCTGCAATGTGAGTCCAAGTCAACTTCTATGTTTCCCATCGCTTGGACCAGCAAGCCTGCCAGATTACGTTCTTTTCGTGGCTACAGCATAAGTTTGAGAAAACAAGCCCCATAAAACATGCACAGTTCAAATTTGTACTTCTGTTGTGTCTGCTAACATCTCACTAGCCAAAGAAAGTGACGTGGCCAAATACAAAGTCAAGAGATAGGAAACTATATTTCTTCAATAGAAATGGTATGAGAAGGGATAAGTAAATAGTTTGAATAATAACCTATTCTAATAAAATCCTAAAGAAACTGCATAGCTTTAATCTCATTTAATCCTTATGATTAACACTCAAATGTAAAGCAGGAGTAGGGATTAACAGTACCATTTTACAAGGGTATCAATGATCAAAAAGTTAAGAGATTTGACCAAACTTAAACACTTCATAATGTTAGATGAGCCTGTTTAGTTCCATTCTTAATGGACAACTCGGCTAAAGTCATTGCCATAAATGACAAAGGCAAAAATTCAAACTAGAACAATTTAAAAAGTAATATATAAAATTAAAAAAATACATTGTGTTTATCTTTCTCTGCTGTAGCTCTTTGAGATATCAGTGCCTTTGACATCAGTACCTGAATTAGTGCCTGTTAAAGTTGCCAATCATACAGGTTGTAAGTGCTTGCCGACAGTCCCGCGCCATCCATACTCAATTATCAGAAGATCCATCCAGGTCCCTGAAGATCGGTAAGCACTTTTTTTTTGTACTGGATTATGTTTGTTTTTGCCTTGCCAAAACTGTGTGTAGAGGATATTTCATTAATATAGAGTTACCAATTTATCTTCAAATTATTCATATTTTAGCTTCTAACCTGAATCTACTGGTAATAACTGGCAAATACATATTTTTATTAGATATTAGATATATATTGTGGTAGGACCAAAACGCTCAGTGGTATGAGCTCGTCATGTCTACTCACAGACACATTTGTTCTTAATATGCATAGTCTAATGCAGGTGTAAAACCACTTTAACCTCAAATTTAGCACATGTATCCTTGTTCCAGAACAAGCATTAAATAAAACTTATTTCAGGCTGTTTGTATATTTACATCCTGAAATGAGAGAAAAAAAAGAAGATTCCTGGGGTCATTGGGAAGTGACAAAACTAACAGCACGTGAGTTTTGCAGCTTTCTAATCTTTCCCCTTAAGATTACCAAATGAAAAACCCTTGTTGTTAAATGAAAATGACTTAAAATTAATTTGGCTTTGAAATTCTCTTGAGATTAATTTTGTAATTGTTTATAAGACAAACGACGAAAGCAAAGGTAAGGATCACTTATTTGAAGAAAAAAAAAGATTTAATATAAAGAAACAAGTAAAGGGTAACTGAATGAAAAGATCATTAGTTAGGTACTTAGATTTTGCAAAAGTAAAGCAATAAATATATTGCGGGAGTGGCAAGTAAAAGAGTAAGCTGGTGATTAGTTAACATTGAGCCAAGAAGACACCTCCGCCTGTCTCCAGCAGAAAAGAAAACTTGTAGAAAAGCAACATTTATTCTCAAGATGTTCCTGTTATCCTGGCCAATGCTTTTATCTTTATTTTAAAGAAAACAATCTTAGGGGCCTGGCACGGTGGCTCACGCCTGTAATCCCAGCACTTTGGGAGGCTGAGGCGGGTGGATCACGAGATCAGGAGATTGAGACCATCCTGGCTAACACGGTGAAACCCCGTCTCTACTAAAAACACACAAAAAATTAGCCGGGCGTGGTGGCGGGCGCCTGTAGTCCCAGCTACTCGGGAGGCTGAGGCAGGAGAATGGCGGCGTGAACCCGGGAGGCGGAGCTTGCAGTGAGCCGAGATTGCGCCACTGCACTCCAGCCTGGGCGACAGAGTGAGACTCCGTCTAAAAAAAAAAAAAAGAAAATAATCTTAGGAGGTATTCTTAGGAGGTATGTTAGAACATATATAATTTTGGTAAATAAACTGTTGACAGCTATAATTTGCATAGTTTTAACATACATCTTCTTAAGAAGATTACAATTTCCAAAATTACAGTTTAGTTTCTAAACATTTCCACATAGAATATTTATAATTACAGAATCACTATCTAGTAAGATGCAGTTCATAAATACAAATTAAGCTCCTTTAAAATCTTTTTTTTTTTTGAGACGGAGTTTCACTCTTGTTGCCCAGGCTGGAGCGCAATGGTGCAATCTCGGCTCATTCCAACCTCCGCCTCCCGGGTTCAAGCGATTCTCCTGCCTCAGCCTTCCAAGTAGCTGGGATTACAGGCATGCACCGCCACGCCTGGCTAATTTTGTATTGTAGAGATGGGGTTTCTCCATATTGGTCAGGCTGGTCTCAAACTCCCGACCTCAGGTGATCTGCCCGCCTCGGCCTCCCAAAGTGCTGGGATTACAGGCGTGAGCCACCGTGTCCGGCCCGCTCCTTTAAAATCTTAACTCTTTTCACATCCTTATCATTTTGTGGTGAGAACATTTGAAATTTACTCTTAGCAATTTTGAAATATACAATACATTATTATTATTGACTGTAGTTACCATACTGTGCAATAGATCTCAAAACCTTATTTCTCTAAACTGAGAATAAAAAGCAAAAAATAAATTTTAAAAATCTTAACTATTCTCTATCAGGAATTGATTTAATGTTCCAAAGTTTTGATTATGCTTGAAAGCTTTTAAATCTGGTTCATTGTTTTCTTTTCCTAGCTGTCCCCATTCCAAGAAACTCTGTCCTATTGACATGCTATGGGATAGCAACAAATGTAAATGTGTTTTACAGGAGGAGAATCCACTTGCTGGAACAGAAGGTAATGATAGTAGTAGTAAAATAATAACAGTAATAATAAAAGTAGTAACAATAGCAGTGAACATTATTGAGTACTTAGTATGGCCAGGCAATGTTGTAAATCTTTTATATGTTTTAGCCCATTTAAGTCTCACAACAACCCTATAATATGCTATTGGTATTTCTTTTTTACAATTACAAAATGGACACACCAAGATATCAAGTAATTTCCTCAAGGTCACACAGCTGAGAGTGATAGAAGTGGTCAGATTCCAGAACCCTCTGTACCATAATCATATAGTAAGTCCATCAATGCATCACTTTGCTTTCTAATCTCAAAGAAAAGCCCAGAGTTACTGGAGCATCCTGAAGCATTGAAATTGAAAGGGGATGTTAAACTTGAATGAAAGCTGCTTCAGAACTAAATACTAGTCAACTGCAGTTTACTAATTTATTTGTATGAAAGTCTCACAGGAACATAAAGTAATTTTGGACTTGGTTTCTATCAATTGCATCATATGAAAACATGCCAGTAATTTGAAAAAATAAATGGAGAATAAGAGAAAAGTTTTTCTGGAATTAAGGCAAAGCAAAAGCAAAATATGGCTATTGGTCTAAGGGGAGTTGGGAGCAAAATGAGATATAGTCCATTGTCATAGCTCATAATCCGTAATTCTGTGACTTTGGGTGATGAACATTTGCTTGAAAATGAATGCATTTTAATTTATTTTCCAGAGAGCTTCACATGGTTCCACCAAAAAAAAAAAAAAAAATCACAAGTAGTCATGCAGTTTTACCCTTGCTTGTTTTACACTATAATCTACAAGCAAGAACAGTAAGGGCTAAACTCTAAGAAATCTGTCCTAAAAACTGTAAATAGCAACCTACTCTCCATTCTTCTGCCTCTCAGCTTCCTTCTAAATGTTTTCACGAAAGCTTGACCCAGAGCATGTGAGGAAATTTAATATTTATGTAGTTTAAATGCCCGTGCTGATCTTGAATGTTCTTTACACCCTTCCCACCAAGTGTTCAGCCATCCTCTACCAGAACATACATTAGTTATTTGGAGACTCGCCATCCAATGGGGCAGCACCAAGGGGTGGACACACTCCTGTTGTTATACTGAACTGAAATCTCTCTCTAGAACAGACCAGACTGCCCAATGGAATACAATAAGAGTCATATATGTAATTTACATTTTACATTACTCATATTAAAAAGGTAAAAAGAAACAGGTGAAATTTATCTTAATATATTTTATTTAATCCAATCTATCCAATATACTATCATTTCAACATGCAATCAATGTAAAAAACTTTATGTGCTAGCCTACATTCTTTGTGCCAAGTCTTTGAAATCCAGTGTGTTTGTACACTTACAGCACATCTCAATTTAGACTCTCTATTTCATGCCCAATAGTCACATATGGCCCATAGCTACCTTGTTGGACAGCCCAGCTCAAGAGCATCAACTCATTAGTTCAGGTTTTACCCTACAGAGCCATGTAAAACAAATCTAATTCTTTCTCCATGTGACTCATGTTTTAATAGTCTTAGAAAATTATTGTGGGGTTGGCCGGGAATGGTGGCTCATGCCAGTTATCCTAGCACTTTGGGAGGCCGAGACGGGAGGATCACTTGAGGTTGGGAGTTTGAAAACTAGCCTGGCCAGCATGGCAAAATCCCATCTCTACTCCTTAAAAAACAACAACAACAACAACAAAAAAAAAAAAAAAAAAAAAAAAAAAAAAACAGCTGGGCATGGTGATGTGCGCCTATAGTCCCAGCTACTTAGGAGGCTGAGGCATGAGAATCTCTTGAACCTGGGAGGCAGAGGTTGCAGTGAGCCGAGATCATGCCACCACACTCGGGCCTGGGTGACAGAGCGAGACTGTGCCTCCAAAAAAAAAAAAGAGAGAGAGAGAGAAAGAAAGAAAGAAGAAAAGAGAGAGAGAAAGAAAGTTACTGTGGGAAGGGCAATATATTTAGAACTTAAAGGCTCTAGCTGAGGATTTCCTGGCACAAAGCCTCTGAGACAGTTTTATATGGAGGAGGTTTGTAGGCAGGCACAAGGCATTAAAGAGTAAAGAGAGAGGCAGCTGACCACAATGCTGTTGCTAAGAGGCATCAGCCTAAGCCAACGGGAAGTTGAAGCTGGGAACCCCTGTGGAGGTAAGTCTCAAATCTAGGTGAAGAGGCTGAACCCTGTAGACCGTTCATTGGCTGCCTTGGAGAGGGGATGTAGCCTTAGGTGAGGCAGCTGATTTCTGCTGGAGATAATTCTTGGGAAGGCACTCAGCCAGTACACGTGTGTAGAGGGTGGAAAGAGGAATAGGGAAGAAGAGAAGTGCTACTCTAAGCAGGGGGGATCTGAGCACTCAGGGCTGGAGGTGAAAGAATATACTGGAAAAAGTTCAGCATGGTGGGGATATAACGGGTGGGGACATAATGGGGAAGGGGTTGGTTAGATGTGAGAGAAGAAGCTGGACAGGCTCACAGGGACAAAGCAGAAGGACCTTGTAATTCTTGCGTGGGAGCTTGGATGTGATACTAAGGACAAAGGGAAACCACAAAACTGGCTCAAGCAGGAGAGTGACAGTACCCATTAGAATTTTAACAAAATCATACCAGCAACAGTGTAGAAGAGGATGCGTTGACTCGGGGCAGGGAAAGAGGCAGGAAACCTTTTGGGAAGTTGTAGCAACGAGGTAAGCGAGAGGCGCAGGGTGGACTGGATCACAATTGTTTCTCATTCTCATCTCCCATAAGTCCCCAATGTGGACCAAGTTCACATTCTTTTCTCCAGTGGCCCCATCAAATTGATGGCATTTACTGAGCTTACTGCTCACTATACTTTTTTTCCATACATGTGACTGTTAAGCCAACTGCCTTTTCTACAATGACTTCTCTTGCCCAGATGAGCACATTTAGGTTAGTGAATCCAAGTCTAATTTAATTGCATCTTGTTAGATTCAGGTCATTGCTCTAAATTGTTAAAACAAACAATCCAAAAAAAAAAAAAAAAAAAAGAATAAATCGAGGAGGTCCCAATTCTGTATTTTAAAATACTTAATATATCTCTTCCTTCTTGAAGACAGCCACAATTTCAAGAATTTATTTTGAAAAATTCTATCAGTTTATTGATAAAAATGGTAAAAGGAACAAAGCTGAGAACAGAACATATCGTCAAACTCCCTAGGGATGGAAATCAATACATAATACTTCAGGATATCACCCTCAGCTACTTGCTGTTTCACCACCAGTTCTCTTGCATCCAGTTTTTGTTCCTTTTCACTTGGCTATGAGGACGTGAGCACAGCGTCTGCCTAACAGCCTGCTGAAGTTCTGCAAACACCTTGTGGATTGTGTTTCCCTAAACCACCCTGTCCAACAGCGGCCTTGGGCCTGTCTGAAGTATTCTTAGTGAACTTCTGCTGCCACCTAGTGATCACTGAGAATTTTTAAAGAGCCTCTTTGTCCTTTAACAAGTTATTCTTGTCTTGCCCCAAAGCGACATCTGCCTCTCTGGCGTGTGACTTACAAAGCTCACGTTTTTCCTCTTCACAAAGTTCAAAATGGGGACTTCTCAGATTTAGCCTTCCAGCACCCATTCTCAAACATCATCCATTAGAGAACAGTTTAAACTATAAAGTTGAACCACACGAGATTGTCATTTTGATATGTCATTAAAGTCAGATATTGGCAAGAACATATGGTTTAACCCAATGTCTTGGAATGCTGGATGAGATTCTCAGAACCTCCATACATAAGCCTGCTTCAGGACCCTTTTATTACACCAGATAAACCCAACAAACATCCATCGAGTGCCTATTTTATAACAGAACAATGAGACCTGCTCTTTCCCCTTCAGGACATTTTACTTAATGGGGGAAACGTACAAGTAAACAGACAAATGTAATCAGTGCAAGAAAGAATCGGACGGAAATATGCACAGGATAAGGACACTTAGCTAAACCTGCAGACATTGGGAAAGATGTCAGGGAAAATGGATGGCAGAAGGAAAGACAAGGCCAAAGGCATGGGACTGGGAGGCACTGGAATATCAGGGCAACAGAAAGTGCTGTCATTTGGTGTAAATGGAACACACAGGATATATGAGAGCGAGAAACAGAAGATGAGTCTGTGAGGTTATTATGGTCCAGTTCATGGAGGGCCTTGTATGTCCTGGTGGGAAAATTGGTTTTTATTGTGAGAAGGGAAACTTTTAATGCATTCAAAGCAGTGGAATGAAGTGATTTGGTTTGCATTTGTTAATCATGTGAAGAATAGGTTGGAGGGATAAAGCTTGTGGTGGCAAGATGAGCGACAGAGCGACAGCCATCTACACAAGAAACACAAAGTACAGACTGAATTGTGGCAGTGGCAGGGGGATGGAAAATAAAGAACAAATTTAGAGAATCAGAACTGAGTGGACATGATGCTCAGACTTACCAGAGCAGGCAAGTCAAGAATAATGTCACCATTCCCTAAATGAGGCAAACTGGGAGAGAAGCAGGTTTGGGGAGAAAACTACTAAACATGTATGTCCCTCCAAAACCTTCAAGAATGCTAAAGGGACAGAGTCAAGTTCTTCCAAAGTTTCTGTCTCTTCCATTTATTTTGCAATGAATTTCAACTTGTTAATCAGAAATGGATTTGAAGTAGTAGCTATTCAATTGTTTTATACACCTTCTAGAAGAAATATCTGTCAGCTGAGTATGTCAAAAACTTCTCAGACCCTCCCCTTTACCTGAATGTATCTTCCAGCAGATGTTGGTGGAATCAAAGTTGATTGTTGCTGTTATATCTTTTATACTAGTGTTATGATCTGCAGTGAGAACATGCATTACTATTGCTACCCCTGGTCTGGAATGTCTGAGGTGTATTTCTACAACACCAATTATTTTGTATGTCTCTCCTTTTAATCTCCACCAAAAAATGGAGACAGCTAGACTCATAACCCCTTAGACATCCTATATTTTATTACTAATACTTGGTTGTGGAAGTTTGCATTTTAAACAAGTCATCAACATAGAAAGCTCTAAAAATATTTTATCAAAAACATTCAGCTTATGATATTTTAAAAATCACAAACCTAAGAAAACACACAAACCTGTGTTTGTATTGTGAAATCAGAGGCTAATCTTCCTCACCTTGTAAAAAAAAATAGGGGTATAAATCTATAGGAAGGAGATTGGGTGAATCCAAGTTACTCACGGATGACGTAAAATATACAATCAACTTTGGTGATCCAATTATCCACGCTACAACTATCTGACCAATACATTTCTGTTCCTCTTTAGACCACCCTCATCTCCAGGAACCAGCTCTCTGTGGACCACACATGACGTTTGATGAAGATCGTTGCGAGTGTGTCTGTAAAACACCATGTCCCAAAGATCTAATCCAGCACCCCAAAAACTGCAGTTGCTTTGAGTGCAAAGAAAGTCTGGAGACCTGCTGCCAGAAGCACAAGCTGTTTCACCCAGACACCTGCAGGTAAATGCCTTGAGTTGTCTTGCCTTTACTCATGACATTTAATGTAAATGCCATTTTAATTTGGTGGGATTCTTTAGTAAGCTAATTTTTCCCTTTAGTGCCTAAGTCCCTTTTGGATAATAGAACAGAGGTTTGGCAGCTAAGGAATAAGCAAGGGTATACAGAGTGATGATTAATCATGAAATTAAGAAAATCCTGCCTGTTATTATGGGTTTAGAGTTTTTTGTTTGTTTGTTTGTTTGTTTGTTTTTTACAGAGTCTCGCTCTGTCTCCAGGCTGGAGTGCAGTGGCGTAATCTGGGCTCACGGCAACCTCCAACTCTCTGGTTCAAGGGGTTCTCCTGCCTCAGCCTCCTGAGTAGCTGGGATTACAGGCACATGCCACCACGCCCAGCTAATTTTTGTATTTCAGTAGAGACGGGGTTTCACTATGTTGGCCAGGATGGTCTCGATCTCCTGACCTCATGATCCACCTGCCTCGGCCTCCCAAAGTGCTGGGATTACAGGCGTGAGCCACTGCGCCTGGCCTGGGTTTAGAGCTCTTAAACAACAATGAAGTTGGTAAAATTTAAGCAATTATTAGGATATTGCTTAATAATAATATTTTAGGAAGGGGAGGTTTCAGATCATCAACCTCTTTAGTTCGGTCTCTCATTGTATATGTCAATATATGTTTGTTTTTTTTCTTTAATGGAGGGAATATCATCGGATTTATATAGCAAGGAATTTATTCATGAATAGAACACTTGGAGGTTACTGATTCACTTTAATAGATTTTGAATCCATGTGGGATAACCATGCAGGATTTTATACTGACATTTTAAATATATGTCTGAAAAACTGCCTCTGAAAACTTAATCAAATCAGAACAGAGTTATTCTTTCGAATCCAGTCATTGATTCTGAATTCTCATCTTTATTTTCTTTTGCAACAGCTGTGAGGACAGATGCCCCTTTCATACCAGACCATGTGCAAATGGCAAAACAGCATGTGCAAAGCATTGCCGCTTTCCAAAGGAGAAAAGGGCTGCCCAAGGGCCCCACGGCCGAGAGAATCCTTGATTCAGTGTTCCAAGTTCCCTATCCCTGTCGTTTTTAACAGCATGCTGCTTTGCCAAGTTGCTGTCACTGTTTTTTTCCCAGGTGTTAAAAAAAAATTCGTTTTACACAGCACCACAGTGAATCCAGACCAACCTTCCCTTCACAGCTAAGGAGTCCCTGGTTCATGGATGTCTTCTAGCTGCAGATGCCTCTGCACGCCAAGGAATGGAGAAGAGGGGACCCATGTAATCCTTTTGTTTAGTCTTGTTTTTGTTTTTGATTTTTGGTGAATGAGAAAGGTGTGCTGGTCATGGAATGGCAGGTGCCATGTGATTGATTACTCAGAGCAGATGAGGAAAACTGTAGTCTCTGAGTCCTTTGCTAATCGCAACTCTTGTGAATTATTCTGATTCTTTCTTATGCAGAATTTGATTCGTATGATCAGTACTGACTTTCTGATTACTGTCCAGCTTATAGTCTTCCAGTTTAATGAACTACCATCTGATGTTTCATATTTAAGTGTATTTAAAGAAAATAAACACCATTATTCAAGCCATAGAATTTTATGTTATTTAATATGTTTCCACTCTGTATTTATGCTAAAGAAAAAGTGTTTTAAAGAAAGAAAGGAATTTCGAAGTGGAAGGTGCAGGGAGACACACAAACACTGAACCTCAGTTTTGGGAAACCAAGGGAATAGCTCTCAGAAAGGTTAAGATTCTAAATGAGGCTAAGCAAATGCGGCCCAAGAATCCACTGCGAGTCACTCTGTGCTTTGAGATTAAATGGAACTTGACCTGATCCCCATCCCATGCCCTTGACCTCTTTGAGAGTTTGCATTTCTTCTGGCCACCTCTGGCTCCAAGTTTCTGCACTTACTCAAATCTCAGTGTCATGGACATCCCAACTCTCATGGCAACACAGTTCTTCTCTCTGTTCTACAGCTATCGCATTTTGTTTTTGAGTGATTCTCCTGCCTCAGCCTCCCGAGTAGCTGGGTCTACAGATGCACGCCACCACGCCCAGCTAATTTTTGTATTTTTAGTAGAGACAGGGTTTCACCATGTTGGCCAGGATGGTCTCGAACTCTTGACCTTGTGATCCACCCTCCTCGGCCTCTCAAAGTGCTAGGATTACAGGCATGAACCAGCACACCCGGCCACATAAAGCCTTTTTCCTCAAAGTACTCCTACATCTAATTTGTTGGTGACATAGACTTCATTGAAATTTTGCCATAACAGAGGGAATTTAGCAGCATTAGCAGAGTTAAGTTATGTATTAAATAACTTAAAATTAATCCCTGCATAGTATCTTGCATAGATAGATATGTATATAGACACACACAACCCATTATGGTACTTACAACACATTTGTGTAAATAGCTGTGTTTCTGTTTATCTCCCCACCATACTGTAACCTCATTATGACTGGAAACTGTTGTCCTGATCAAATTTGTGTAACCCAGGTTTCTCAGGCCAGAGCACCCTGGAACAGTACAATCAAAAGGAGAAAGACAATGATAAACAAAGGAATAGTAAACAAATGTAGCCCATGGTAGTGGCATTGTTTGATCCTGGCCTAAATCCCTACCCTTCCTCTGCCAGGGTTCCTAAGCAGTTCCTGAATTCTCCCTTCATTCACTGAAATTCTCCAAAGCCTGGGGCTCCAGGTCCTTTGATGCTTCCCTGGCTTTAACTCTCAGTCCCTGCCCTGGGGACACGAGCTAACCTTCACCTGGCCTTGGAACCAGTCCCCACTGTGCTGCCATTGTCATTGCTCTTGCCATTTACTGGTGCCAAGCCAGTCACTCCTCTTCTGCCACTGTTCTTCTTGCTCTCACTTTATGACCTTGATGTCAACAGGCTTCTTCCTTCTCATTTTACTGTATTTTTAATCAGGCTTCTGAAAATGCTTGCACATAACTTAGTTTTTGGAAACATACTCAGCATTCGACTCTTTGCTTTGCCTTTTCATTCAGTCTCTACCACTCCCCACTTCTCCATGATATTTGGTTAAATTCCTTTGAGGTTTGGTGCAGAAGACAATTCAACGATACCACACAATTAAAGGAGTTACTTTGCTTATCCTCGACTGGCAAAAAGAGGGGATGAATCACTGAGGAGAAAAGACATGAATTTAAGGACAGACTCTGCCACCTAAACACATTGTAAGCCTGAACAATGTCATCAAGCCTCAGTTTTCTCATCTGTCAAATGTAAATGATAATCTTATTTCCCTAAATCTCAGAATTGATAATTTCATTAGAGTTAAAAAATTGAACAATACAATGTATCTTATAACTCAAAGGAATTATTCTGAAGGAAAGAAGGGAGACTGAGCAAATCCCAGAAGCTTGGGACCTCTGAGATGTTCTTGGCTTATACTGGATCCTTGGATCTGTCCTAAAACCAACTCAAACCATGTTTTGGCTCGAAATGCCTCTGGCTTCATAATTGCCATTTAGATGGAGATTATCATAAGGAATTCTAAGCTAAGCCAAAACTCAATGTGGTCTGGCTTTGTGCTTCTAAAACCCCTCCCTCTGCTTCCTCCTTAATTCCCAATTACCATCAAGATCTGCACTTGGATCCCTGAGGCTGGGTCAGGATGGGTCTGGTCCTTGAGGGCGGAGGTGGGGTAACTGGCCTGTTGCTTTATTAGAGTTCACTAGACATTGCATGGAAATATTTGTCATACTAACAGCCCTGGAACATGAGTTGAAAATTCTCAACTTGTTGCAAAGTAAAAGTATGTGAGAAACTCCAAGAGCTTTAAGCAAACACAATAAATGCCAGCAATGCATGATGTCCCTGATTACACCACAGGGCCAGAGAATTATTAATGTGACAGCACACATCATAAATCTGTGACTAAAACGGTGTGGCAGGAGGCCCTTTAGAGATGGAAACAGATTAGGCAGCACGATGATCAGAGTTGAATGAAGATTAAAATACTGTCTGAGAGACTTGATAAAGGAAATTATACAAACATTACGTTTTAAGGCCCTTTAAAAAAGCCATAGTTCAGTGAAAATTGTGAGCTTAATAGATTTGGTCAGCAAGAGCTGGACTTTGTCTAATTTAGTCTTAGTCCTCAGTGTGAGAACAATGTCTTGCATATATTAGGTACTCAATAAATAATTGTTTAATAAATAATAAATTATTACATTGATTTTGTGACGAGCGAATGAAATTATCTCTTTAAAAAGTGAAGAGTAATTTTACATAACTCATGTTTTTCAAACTCAGCTAGATTATATGCATGTCTGAATTATTCAGATGTTGCAACTCCAGAAAGCAATTTAATCTATTCTCAAAATATTTATGAAGTGAAAATGAGCAAAAAAATTCTGTTATTTGACCCTTGTTAATGGCTTAGTGAAAGAAAGTCTGTCTTTGGTAATTTTATCACTGATATTGTTTGTTCTGAAACAGTGGTCAGTAAGCAATGGCCCATAGGCCAATTTCAGCTCATTGCCTGTTGTTTTGGTAAATACTGCTTTATTGGAACACAGTTATGCTCATTTGTTGATGTGTTGTCTATGGCTACTTTTACTCTACAACAGCAGAATTGAGTATTTGGGGACAGAGACTGTATGGCTTGCAATGCTGAAAATATTTACTCTTTGGTCCATTACAGAAAAAGTTAGCCAACCCTTTGTGTAAAAATATTTCTTATTTTATCACGTATCATCAATGAACATTAAATATAATGAATGAGACTGCTTCTTGAACCCCTATAAAAAAATGGCACTGTTACCTGGCCTTGATCGATTGTTGGAATCATCTGACCTCACCTTATTTCAGTCATTGTGTAGTGTGTAACCCAATGAAGCTAAAAATTTACAATGATTTAAATTTCAGCTTTCCACAATTTAAATAAAGTCATGGATACATTTATTGATGGGTTCTAGTCATGTTCGTGGTATATCTCTAAAATGTTAGTGTTGACGGCGTGGACTCTAAATAGAGATAGCGCATAAACATGTTAGTTTTGTTTGTTTGTTTTCTCTCTTTTTTCCAATGCCCTGGGTAAAGTAAATACTCCTAAAAGTTAGGGGATTTTTTTTTTTTTAGTTTTTTTTTTGGAGACAGAATCTCGCTCTGTCACCCAGGCTGGAGTGCAGTGGCACAATCTCGGCTCACTGCAACCTCTACCTCCCAGGTTCAAGTGACTCTCCTGCCTCAGCCTCCTGAGTAGCTGGGATTACAGGCTACAGGCCCCCATGCCCAGCTAATTTTTGCATTTTTAGTAGAGACGGGGTTTCACTATGTTAGCCAGGATGGTCTTGATCTCCTGACCTTGTGATCCTCCCACCTCGGCCTCCCAAAGTGCTGGGATTACAGGCGTGAGCCAAAGCGCCCGGCCCGGGATTTTTTTTTTTTTTTTAAAGTGTAAGCCCACAAGGACAGGGTGAATGATAAAGTCAGCAGAAACAACAATGTTCTGAAAGCTGAAAAGCACGCAGATAAGTTGTAAATGATTTGGCCAACCTGAAAAAAACATAATTTAAGCCAAAAGTTGGGGAAGATGAGTTCCCAAAAGGCTCAGAAGTGGGTGTCCCAAGCACCTCTAGAAGCGGGAAGGATGAGAGGAGTGCTAAAATGAGGTTCAGTCGAAAAATCTGTATAAGAAACAGTTTGATCCCAAATCTTCTCCCACATTCCCTGTGGTGGAGTGACTGCTCCTTCCAAACCCAGGCAAAAGATGGATTATTAGTCATTTGGCTATGGTAAAAGAGAGCGCATCCAGAATGGGGGATGCCTGACATCCATGAGGGCAGGGTGCTGAACTAACAAGAGGGTTAAGTGAATGCGTACATACTAGGTGCAACTACAATTCAGGCAGTTGGATCTGTACTTGAAAAGTGTTTCTCTGGGGGGAATCTTACCAGCCTAAGAGAAAAGACCTAAAAACAACTAAAATTAGTTGGGGGAGGGACTATCAATGGAACAGCCCAATCAGGTCAACAAGCCCCATTCCTGGGCTCAGACCTCAGATCAGCTCCTTTGTCCCTTTCTTTTAAATATGAGCAAGCAGCCATGAATTCCCAGACATCCAGGGAAAATTTCTAACATGAAAGACAGAGAGTAAAACACACAGAAAAAAGCAATTTGGATGAAACAGAAGAAAACTTCAAATCATTAATAGCCAGGGGGTGAGGGAAGAAGGTGAGACAATGCAACTAATAAATAAAATGAAGGTGTTATTAAAAAAGAAAATGTCAGAGGACATAATAGAGCCCTAGGAAACTAAAACTATTATAATAAATTAAAAATTCAATAGAAAAAAAGGAAGACAGAGTTGAAGAAATTTCCTAGGAAGTAGAATAAATAAGAAATTAAAAGTGAAAAGATAAGAAGGACTAACATCAGAATAACTGAAGTTACAGGAAATGAGAAGAGACACAATAGGAGATGTAATCGACAATTTAAAAATTCAAGAGAATTTTGAAGTACATGAGTTGGTAAGTGAAAAGGCTCCCTGAGTCCCTAGTCCAAAAGGTGAAACTATGCCTATACCAACGCACAAAATGATGACATTTCAGGACACAGGAG